ACAGTTTATCACCAAGGCTACAGAGCACGTGACGCAACTCTGCCGCGTTAACTAATCCATTACAGTTGCGATCAAACACTCGAAGGCATTCGATGAAATACTCCGGATCAACTAAAAATAAAATACATGAACCTATTTTAAAATGTGAATTACGCTTGAAAACCCGTAGAAGGATAAAAGAAATTTCAAATTACCAAAAACGAGGACAAGGGGTTGTTAAATTTCAGCTCCTGAGAGCCTTGAAAGGGAGATTGGTTATTAAAAGAGGAGCTTGTAGACACACCCACACACTATATAGATAGATCTTTGGCGTCTTGGAAGCAACGACAATAAAGTTTTTGGCAGAACTGTTTGAATTTAATCCTGATTTTTCAAAGAAACTGGTTATTAGGGCGACTGGAAACTAGTCATCAGGCAAACACCACACCAAAGTTCTAACTGCCGTTTCATCAACCTCAGCGTTGAATTTGAACATGCAGCTCGATTTTTGACAATCATGATGCAGAGAATACTTGAAAGCAAAATGACTTTTTTATTTTCTATGGTGAGTGTGGCAATGTGTGCTCTTTAAAACACAAATCCTAACCCAAATTACACAGATGACGATCTACACGTGACTTGCACTGGCTGCGTGTCTATCACGAGCGATTACATGTAAATATCCCAGAGTACCCAGTACCCCAGACTGTCCTGAAAATATTGATTTTATTTATTCCTTTTTTGAAATCAATAAATTAGCCTTAAACTCCGCGCGTAATTATTTTCCAAGTCATTTCCACCTTTCTCATGAGGCTAGATATACTTAATTCCTAAAACTCATATCAAGGCCACGCTAATCGACGTAACTTTTAAACTTGCTGGAAACGTAATAAACGATAGTCATTTCTTTTTATTTACAGCTATTTATATATATATTTTTTACTAGATCGGATATGACTTCATTATTTCAAGCTTTCTTAAAGAGAATCAAAATAGTTCCCATTCTCAATGAAGAGCGACAAAAATGTTGAGCTTATTTCTGATTCTGTTTTTATTTTAATTTTTCAATGCATATTAAGTAACTTATATTTTTGTTATTAGGTAGTATAAAGGAAGCTAAGGTACGCTATAGCTTTTGCTATCGATTCGTCAAGCTTTGAGCCTGAAAATCATAAGCACAGTTCGCTTAAAGAAAAAAAGGATTATCTTAGTATTAGTTTGCCGCTGAAGAGTTATCAAACACAAATGCGATACGGAACAATAAAATCAGAAAAAATATTTAAGTTAAGCTCACTTCCTGAAGCAAGGCGGCAATGAATATAAACTCTTGTGATATAAAACTTACCTCCACGTTTTTTCTGCCTATCACGCAGATTTTGATAAATTGGAAAGAATTCTTCGAAGCTAACTCTCTTGGCTCCAGTTCCAGCAGGATCGAGACTGCGAATTATTTTTGCAATTTCTCCTTCGGTTGGATTTGTGCCAAGGGCTCGCATAACTTCTCCCATCTGGCTTGATTCAACTTTTTTGTCTCCTCGTCGATCGTAGAGATAAAATGCTTCTTTGCATTCTTCTATGGAGTCTTCTGGAGTAAACATTATTGCTAGAGAACACGTTTTTATTCAAACCAAGGTTCTATGTTGTTTCTCCAAGCTAGCGAACTATTTTACAATAAATTTGTTATTCTTTCACATCTGTTTTTCCCAGAACAAGCTTGAGCAGGTGTTCCAGCGAGTATGCAAATCAGGACCGCCGCAACCTCGTTCCCAGGGTCTCAACAGCCCTGGGAACGAGGTTGAGACTGCCATACGCTGCCGCTCAATCAACGGCCGCTCGCCATTTACTGCTCGCGAAGATTGCCCACCCTTGCATATTTACTGTAAAAATAAAAAATAAATATATACCGTATTTACTCGAATAAGCGCCGCGGCGTTATTTAATTTTCCTAGACTCAAATACGGCGCTTATTTTTTGAAAGTTGGACGCAAGAAAGAATTGTCTAACTACGGTATTATTACTTTCCGCAGAATTAACGTCTTTTGTTGTTGATTATATTGGGGGCGGCGTTTATTCGAGTAAATACGGTATTCTGTTTCGATTTGGGAGAGAAACGTTTATGTCCTTTGTTCTGGTTTATTGAATGTGGAAATAAAACGTTTTCTTTGTGCAACCAAGAAAATAACACACATCTGCAAGCAGGCTACATGTATCGGATGAAACTTCTTAGTTGGTAAGTAAAACCTGCAATATGCTAAAACAAAACTGAATGGAGGGCTCGCACTACGGCAAAGGGCTGATTTATTACAGGCCAATATTTCGGCTGACAACATAAGCCTTCCTCAGGGCCAGAGCTATACAGAGCTCTCTCGGTATAGCTCAGGCCTCTGCATTCAAACAAAGACAAAGGAGGTATTCTTAAACAGGGCGTGACCCGTCCCTTTCCAAGGAGTAAACCAAGCGCTAGACTTGTGATCAGTAAAGTACTGCAGGATCATTTGACTTTTGTTAGTCAACCAATGATAACTTGGATCGGGTGAGGTTCTTTGATTTGTTAATTAAAGGAAGACAATAAAAAAGTGGACTAGCCACAAAAATACCAGAAAACTACTGCAACTTTTGCCAAAGATTCCCCACCAAAATCGTAAAATGGCTTTTTTTTTCCCTCTGTACTTATGATGTCAATTCATTTTAAAAATTACAGGCAAAATGTAATAAATATGACTGTTTAATTGAAAAAAAAAAATGTCTTTTAAATATTCCATAACGTTATCACACGTGATCATTTGGTTCTTCTGGGTAAACTGAGAATTAATCTCAGGTATTTATAAATACGGTTGATTTTAACTTTGCTAAATATAAAATGACATAAGATTAATATATTAGCCAAAATGTTAAACAAGTGCAGTCATTACAGGTCAGCATGTAGCTATGTACAACATTACAGGACTCTTCTTATTTTGTTATCTTACAAAAAAGTTCTTCTGCGATTATATTACTAATATCAAGTTACCTACTACCTAATAACTACTTATAAAATTCTTATTTGAATAAACAATAAAAAATAATGAAAAAACTGATCTTGCTCATGAGGTTGTTTTAGGTATTTTGGTTTCAAAATGTTGGCAATACAGCATGCTCTGTCTTGATGGACAGCTCTATAAACATGTAGACACTAGATTTCTGACATTTTCAGTCACTTTTTGTGTCTTTCTATGAGGTAGACATCTCACTAAGACTTGAACATCTCTATTACATAACAATACTGCTCAACATCATTATTATATTTGGCCATGTTGAAAAGGAAATTGTTAATAAGATTGGTAAACATGTTACCAAGGTTCCCATTAGTGGCAAAAATAAATCAGGCAGCACAGTACTAAACTTAAAACTTTCACAAAAATATTGCAGTTGCTTCAAAACAAGAGTCTCTCAACTAATGTTAATCATAATTTCACAATAATCATACTGATATATTATTTTTCTTTGAGAGTTATAGTTTGTCCATTTCACCAGCTGCACATGTAACTATGAACATCCCACAAAGAGTAAATTGTTAACAATAACAAAGTCAAATTTTCAGCCCAAATTTTTAACCAGGAAAGAAATGCCATCTTGGAAAACGACAAGCATTGCCAGTCCCTTCGCAGGCTATGCCAGTAAGTAATCATTTTATATTACTATTCTTTAAAAATATGCCAGTAAGTAATCATTTTATATTACTATTCTTTAAAAATATATATCTCAGCAGGTAGAAAAGTCATCAGTGTGTGTTCCAACTGTAAAATTAATTTTATGCTCTTAAAATACAAATTCTGAACTTTAAATATCTAGCTCATTTCCCCAACCCTCCTTTCTCAAAACTTACACTAACAGTCTAAAATCAGAGAGGTGTTGTGGCAGGCGGGCGAAGACATGACCGTGGCACAAACCCCTGCATCTTGTTTGAAGGCGAATAAGCCCAAATCCACCCTCTCCCATCCTTGAGTTTCATATCAGCATAGATCCAGTCTCCCTTATGCACGGTAAGTTCATCCAGTCTCTTCCCTATATAAGTATCAGTACACACAAGTTCTTGTCCATATAGTAAAAGCTCATTGGTGTTTCGACGTTGACGGAATGTATTTGTTTGACTGTTTGAAGTAACAGGGCTTGATCGATTCCCATTGGCTAGTGGGGTGAGAAGGTAGAGCGGCTCTGTGGATGAGCTTCTGTTGTTTGATCTTGCTGAGTCAAGTGACGTTTCTCTGTAGGGACTTCCCGCTTGTGTTGACAGTAGAGAAACCTCTGTCTGCGACATTGTCCTACTGCCATTTAGAAGACTTTGATTTGAAGCTGGACTTGAATCTGAAGAAGGTGAAATACCACTTTAGAAAACTAACATAGGGGGATAAGTTAAAAAATAAAAAATATATATATATATCTGCAAATACAGTATAAGTGCATGAGGTGAAAATTATATGGAAAACTGGAGATCAACTTTGAAGGGATCTCAAATAACATAATAAAAGTACATGTATTAATTGAACAGGGTAGTCAAGATAGTACCCTAGTAGAATTTGTTCTGAAAAATATAATATTATTTATTGCTAAGGACATTAGCACCCATTTTAAGAGCAATCTCTCAAAATGAGTTTGTAACTATCGTAACAATGTCATGCCATGTCATGTATTGAGCATAATGCGCAAAAGAAAAACCTAAAAACAAGTTTTGCATTAGAAGTTGTCATGTTAACTTTGCCTAACTCTTACTCTCTAAAATGGAAGGACTTTCCTGCTCTCTTGTTCCCATAGATCACTTCCCTCCTATCTATTGACCACAAAGTAACCCTTTGGTGCTGGCCAGCAAGTAGAGGAAAACCACATTTTTCACCAATTCCTCTTTTGTGGATTAGTTTTTGGCTAATGAGCATGTACATAAGCCAAAAAACGGACTTATTTCACTCTCTCTTTTCCCTTTTTCTTTCTCTTTTATATGCAGTTTTGTTGCCCACTTTATTGTCTTTTTTTTGCATGGAATTGTGACTACCTAACTTTTAGGAAAGGAACCAATTTAATCTGCAAAGAGCAGTACTAGGTACACAGTGAAATTGGCAGTGGATTTTTCCCCAAAATGTTACTTGGTTTTTTTGGCTGTAAATCTGTCAGGACTGGTCGTGAAAAACAGCCAAAATGGGTCCAGAAAGGGCTTGGCCCAATTTTTGTGGCAAGATTAGCAATTCAGAGCATTACAATGTAATGCTCCTCGATGGGATGCTAGTCCATCACATGTAACCCCCGGCAGAAAGTTGCCGCTACACCTGAGTAAAGAGTGAAGAAGCAGAGCACAGTTTTGTAACCAAGAAAACAATCCGGTAGCAAGGTTGTACCGAAGACTGTTCGGCCACCAAACGTCCTATGCTAATACATTGTACGTGTACATTCAAGCACCGTTTCCTTTCCAAGTTTTCCCATTCAAAGTGACCAAGAAATTGCACCCTTTATAATAGATAACCAATTTCTTTTTTTAGCCGTGAACATTTCTCTTAAAACTAGAATGACGATTTCAAAAATAATTTCCCTTTCAAAAACACTAATTGAGTGCCATCAATTGATGACATACTTGGATTGTTTTTGCTGAATTATTGATTTTGCTGACATTAATGAACTCGGCTCAATACGACCCTCAATGAACTCCAGTACATGTAATATATTTGATACCTGCTAAGATCATCCAGTCTCCAAAAATAATCTTAGTTCTTCAAGTTATTTGTTTGCTAAGTTGATCTAGATTTTTAACTTGTTTATCAACACTTTTCGAAAGACGATTTAGCGTAACACAATGCCACGGAAACTAATTAAACAATTCAAAAAAATCTGTTTCCTACTGTGAGATGTTCTTTAAAGAACACGGCCCCTGCTTCACTAAGATTTGATATTAACTCTAGAATTATTCAAATGTTTGAATCATTGAATCATAAAGACTTACCGCCATTTTGAAGTCTGTCAAAGGGAACCAGGAAATCTTTGGGAATAAATCCTTCGACCCCTTGAGAATTCGACACCCAGTACCAATCTTTGTCCTCCTTGTTCAAAACTCGAACTTTATCCCCCTTCTGTGCGTTTATATCGTTCTCGTCACAGGCAATGAAATCAAACCTGACAATATAATCGCCGTAATTATTTTTCTTAAAACTGAATGCCGGTGTGGTGTCAAGCCTTCCTCAGGGCCAGAGCTATACAGAGCTCTCTCGGTATAGCTCAGGCCTCTGCATTCAAACAAAGACAAAGGAGGTATTCTTAAACAGGGCGTGACCCGTCCCTTTCCAAGGAGTAAACCAAGCGCTAGACTTGTGATCAGTAAAGTACTGCAGGATCATTTGACTTTTGTTAGTCAACCAATGATAACTTGGATCGGGTGAGGTTCTTTGATTTGTTAATTAAAGGAAGACAATAAAAAAGTGGACTAGCCACAAAAATACCAGAAAACTACTGCAACTTTTGCCAAAGATTCCCCACCAAAATCGTAAAATGGCTTTTTTTTCCCTCTGTACTTATGATGTCAATTCATTTTAAAAACTACAGGCAAAATGTAATAAATATGACTCTTTAATTGAAAAAAAAAAATGTCTTTTAAATATTCCATAACGTTATCACACGTGATCATCTGGTTCTTCTGGGTAAACTGAGAATTAATCTCAGGTATTTATAAATACGGTTGATTTTAACTTTGCTAAATATAAAATGACATAAGATTAATATATTAGCCAAAATGTTAAACAAGTGCAGTCATTACAGGTCAGCATGTAGCTATGTACAACATTACAGGACTCTTCTTATTTTGTTATCTTACAAAAAAGTTCTTCTGCGATTATATTACTAATATCAAGTTACCTACTACCTAATAACTACTTATAAAATTCTTATTTGAATAAACAATAAAAAATAATGAAAAAACTGATCTTGCTCATGAGGTTGTTTTAGGTATTTTGGTTTCAAAATGTTGGCAATACAGCATGCTCTGTCTTGATGGACAGCTCTATAAACATGTAGACACTAGATTTCTGACATTTTCAGTCACTTTTTGTGTCTTTCTATGAGGTAGACATCTCACTAAGACTTGAACATCTCTATTACATAACAATACTGCTCAACATCATTATTATATTTGGCCATGTTGAAAAGGAAATTGTTAATAAGATTGGTAAACATGTTACCAAGGTTCCCATTAGTGGCAAAAATAAATCAGGCAGCACAGTACTAAACTTAAAACTTTCACAAAAATATTGCAGTTGCTTCAAAACAAGAGTCTCTCAACTAATGTTAATCATAATTTCACAATAATCATACTGATATATTATTTTTCTTTGAGAGTTATAGTTTGTCCATTTCACCAGCTGCACATGTAACTATGAACATCCCACAAAGAGTAAATTGTTAACAATAACAAAGTCAAATTTTCAGCCCAAATTTTTAACCAGGAAAGAAATGCCATCTTGGAAAACGACAAGCATTGCCAGTCCCTTCGCAGGCTATGCCAGTAAGTAATCATTTTATATTACTATTCTTTAAAAATATGCCAGTAAGTAATCATTTTATATTACTATTCTTTAAAAATATATATCTCAGCAGGTAGAAAAGTCATCAGTGTGTGTTCCAACTGTAAAATTAATTTTATGCTCTTAAAATACAAATTCTGAACTTTAAATATCTAGCTCATTTCCCCAACCCTCCTTTCTCAAAACTTACACTAACAGTCTAAAATCAGAGAGGTGTTGTGGCAGGCGGGCGAAGACATGACCGTGGCACAAACCCCTGCATCTTGTTTGAAGGCGAATAAGCCCAAATCCACCCCCTCCCATCCTTGAGTTTCATATCAGCATAGATCCAGTCTCCCTTATGCACGGTAAGTTCATCCATTCTCTTCCCTATATAAGTATCAGTACACACAAGTTCTTGTCCATATAGTAAAAGCTCATTCGTGTTTCGACGTTGACGGAATGTATTTGTTTGACTGTTTGAAGTAACAGAGCTTGCTCGATTCCCATTGGCTAGTGGAGTGAGGAGGTAAAGTGGCTCTGTGGATGAGCTTCTGTTGTTTGATCTTGCTGAGTCAGATGACGTTTCTCTGTACGGACTTCCTGCTTGTGTTGACAGTAGAGAAACCTCTGTCTGCGACATTGTCCTACTGCCATTTAGAAGACTTTGATTTGAAGCTGGACTTGAATCTGAAGAAGGTGAAATACCACTTTAGAAAACTAACATAGGGGGATAAGTTAAAAAATAAAAAATATATATATATATCTGCAAATACAGTATAAGTGCATGAGGTGAAAATTATATGGAAAACTGGAGATCAACTTTGAAGGGATCTCAAATAACATAATAAAAGTACATGTATTAATTGAACAGGGTAGTCAAGATAGTACCCTAGTAGAATTTGTTCTGAAAAATATAATATTATTTATTGCTAAGGACATTAGCACCCATTTTAAGAGCAATCTCTCAAAATGAGTTTGTAACTATCGTAACAATGTCATGCCATGTCATGTATTGAGCATAATGCGCAAAAGAAAAACCTAAAAACAAGTTTTGCATTAGAAGTTGTCATGTTAACTTTGCCTAACTCTTACTCTCTAAAATGGAAGGACTTTCCTGCTCTCTTGTTCCCATAGATCACTTCCCTCCTATCTATTGACCACAAAGTAACCCTTTGGTGCTGGCCAGCAAGTAGAGGAAAACCACATTTTTCACCAATTCCTCTTTTGTGGATTAGTTTTTGGCTAATGAGCATGTACATAAGCCAAAAAACGGACTTATTTCACTCTCTCTTTTCCCTTTTTCTTTCTCTTTTATATGCAGTTTTGTTGCCCACTTTATTGTCTTTTTTTTGCATGGAATTGTGACTACCTAACTTTTAGGAAAGGAACCAATTTAATCTGCAAAGAGCAGTACTAGGTACACAGTGAAATTGGCAGTGGATTTTTCCCCAAAATGTTACTTGGTTTTTTTGGCTGTAAATCTGTCAGGACTGGTCGTGAAAAACAGCCAAAATGGGTCCAGAAAGGGCTTGGCCCAATTTTTGTGGCAAGATTAGCAATTCAGAGCATTACAATGTAATGCTCCTCGATGGGATGCTAGTCCATCACATGTAACCCCCGGCAGAAAGTTGCCGCTACACCTGAGTAAAGAGTGAAGAAGCAGAGCACAGTTTTGTAACCAAGAAAACAATCCGGTAGCAAGGTTGTACCGAAGACTGTTCGGCCACCAAACGTCCTATGCTAATACATTGTACGTGTACATTCAAGCACCGTTTCCTTTCCAAGTTTTCCCATTCAAAGTGACCAAGAAATTGCACCCTTTATAATAGATAACCAATTTCTTTTTTTAGCCGTGAACATTTCTCTTAAAACTAGAATGACGATTTCAAAAATAATTTCCCTTTCAAAAACACTAATTGAGTGCCATCAATTGATGACATACTTGGATTGTTTTTGCTGAATTATTGATTTTGCTGACATTAATGAACTCGGCTCAATACGACCCTCAATGAACTCCAGTACATGTAATATATTTGATACCTGCTAAGATCATCCAGTCTCCAAAAATAATCTTAGTTCTTCAAGTTATTTGTTTGCTAAGTTGATCTAGATTTTTAACTTGTTTATCAACACTTTTCGAAAGACGATTTAGCGTAACACAATGCCACGGAAACTAATTAAACAATTCAAAAAAATCTGTTTCCTACTGTGAGATGTTCTTTAAAGAACACGGCCCCTGCTTCACTAAGATTTGATATTAACTCTAGAATTATTCAAATGTTTGAATCATTGAATCATAAAGACTTACCGCCATTTTGAAGTCTGTCAAAGGGAACCAGGAAATCTTTGGGAATAAATCCTTCGACCCCTTGAGAATTCGACACCCAGTACCAATCTTTGTCCTCCTTGTTCAAAACTCGAACTTTATCCCCCTTCTGTGCGTTTATATCGTTCTCGTCACAGGCAATGAAATCAAACCTGACAATATAATCGCCGTAATTATTTTTCTTAAAACTGAATGCCGGTGTGGTGTCTGTTTGAATTTGTAACGAGTCGAGGAAAGAAGCGTTACGAAAATTATTCCTTTGAAGACCTTTCTGTTTTTCTTTTCTTTTCTCGTACTCTTCTTCTTCTACGCAATACGTAAACGGAATAAACCCTTCTTTGCCGTCGTTTGTTATAATGTAAATCCAGTCCGTTTCTTGGTATAAAGATTTCACTCGTTGTCCTCGTTTTACAGCGACCTCGTCTTCGACACATGGAATGAAATCGTGCAAAACAACCATCTTTCGAGGCTCAAACTCGATCTCATTGTCTTCCTCTTCCTTGCCCAATTCCACAAGTGAGTCTACACTGTTGCTGCCAGTAATGCGTCCACCAGGATTTCCATTTGGAGTGCTGTTTTTTTGTTGTTCATCTCGATACCCTGTCAGATATTTGACAATCGCTGTGAGACGAGCGTGTAAACAATGAAGTCATAAGCTAGAAAAGCTTTTATTTTCACTCAACCTTAAACTAAACTTGATACTCACGTTTTCTTCGCCTTCTTGGAATTCTCATGGGGCAAAAAAAGGCCATGATCAAATAAATCGGTTGAGGGACTGCGAAGTTCGGCGTCAAACTTTGCTTGACTACGATCTAAAGAATGTGCCTATGTGTACATAACCGCGCAAAGGACCTGCCTGGGATTAGATTGGAAAGCGTGATTTGCTTGAGGGAGGGGAGGGAAAGTCTACCGTTCGTACAGCTCGTCTAAAAAAGAAGCAAAAGGCAGAAATTCACCATTCACCTCACCGACAAACTTCTTCATGAATCGTGAGCCTTTCATCTTAAATTAGTGAGTGCAATGAAAATTGACCCTTGTACAAAACAATGGCGGCACGAGAGCCATTAACAGATTGCTCTTGGATGGTGAAATAGAGCCTATATCATCGTAAACAAGTTTATATCGGAACGATTCGGCCCCTTTAAAAAGAACAATACCGACCTCAAATCTGCGTTCCCTAGTTGCGGTCAACCAGTAGGAAGATTTGAATGACGTACTTTCGTTTGCTTATATTATTGCATTATTTTGCCTACAACAAATCGTAATAGCTAGGGTCCCGGAACGTCACCTTAAATAAAAAAAAGGATATTTTACATCAGTTCCCAAGGGCGAGTAACTGGATGTGTGAGTAAGAATTGAAAGTGGGTTGGAAATCGAAGGAAAACTTTGGGGTAAACATAGCAGTTTAAATACGGTGCTCTCCGCTGGTCGAGAAAGCTTTCTGGATCTTGACATTTCCGTACCACGGAGTTTCTTGCCTGGTCGGTCTTGCGTCAGCTCAAGATATCAGACTGTACACAGCCTGACCTCTATTCCCACATCTTTGATGATGAACGCACGAACCTGCACAAGTATGTCGCGTTCTTATCAATGAGTTTTCGACGATCGAGTATGAAAATAGAAAGGCTGTTCAATAGTCTAACAGTTATCATGGTCGACATTGATATTTCAATCCAGGAACAGTTCAAAGTCAAATTTGTTGAAATGTCGTCCATGATAACTATTCTATGCAAAACGATAAGGAACTTCCACCTACCTCACCTTTTTTATGAGTAAAAGTGAAATTAAATGGAAGGAGAAACACTTATGTTAATATCATTGTATGACGCTTTGTAGTGCACAATTTGAGTGAGGGCCGGAGCTAAGAAAAGCACATGAATTGGATTGGGGGGAACAAATGAGGCATTCGCCTTCTATTCAGTAATTTCACAAAGAGCATAAAGGTCATAATTAAAGGGGAAATATCTACAGCCGCAGTTTTTCGCCAGGAGAAGTGAAATGGTATTATCATGGAGGGAGAGATTGTTCTTGTATAATTATAAAACAAACACTCAGTATGACATGGACAAAGGGTCGGAATAGATGTTAGTAATCACTAGAAACGACGCCAAAGCAATACTATTTTCCCATGCCTGCACACGAAAGGCGAAAGACATGTCAAGTGTAAAGCGTGAAACGTCAAGCGTAGGGCCCTGCAGGGGAGTGTGTTAGATCTAAGGCTATTCAACATTTAAATCGATGACTTATTCTTCCACGTCAAAAGGGCCAATTCGAATGCTTATGCGGATGATCCGCCGCAGGTATACAACTGTGTCCCATGTCGATCCAGTGGCTCTAGAGGCACGATGTTACGATGTTACGATGTCGGTGAGTGGCCAGTGAGTGCATGGTATCATGAGAATGAGAGATGTTACAGTTGATGACAGCACGCGCCAGGCCCTAGTCCTCAGTGATACGGTTAATGGTTTTCCTTCCCAGTAAAGGACACGTTAGATATTTTGGATTAGACTGAAATAAATAATACTGAAGCACACTAATTCTTATAGACATACATCCAATATGTGCAAAATGATCAGTAATCAATTTTGCTGTTACGCTGCGCTTTAATTTCGACAACAGTTTTTCCTGTACAGTACACAGAATCACTTTACTTAAACTTTACAAAGCGTATATTTTACCACATTTTTATTATTACTCAGTCTTGTCGGGCATTTTTGTGGGACGCGCGATGCGGATAAGCTAGACATGAACCTCTTAGAGAATACTTACATTTACAGGGTGTTTCAAAAGCTCGTTCCTATTTTTTCGTTGCTTAAATTTCACAGATTACCTTAAAATACCCTTTATAAAACTAACTGAAGTATGTTATTTCTTATTCATTTAACACTGAATAACTGAAATATTAGTAACAAGAATGTCTTCCTTTACCTTTACTGACATTTTCTAAGCGGTGAGGTATAGAATGCACGAGCCCCCTAAGCGTGTCTCCAGGGGAAGCGTAGTCGCCCGCTCAGCTGGTCCAGACAGTGTTTTGGAGGCTTGATCTTTGTGCGTTCTCCCGTCAACGATGCTCCAGATGGTCTTTAGGGGTTCATATCAGGTTAATTTGCCGGCTGGTCGTCTTTTAGTGTAAAGTTCAAAGTGCAAATATATAATTCTTTTGACACCATGTCCGAAGCCGCGCGTCACTTTAGAGTCTCTGCAAGACTGGTACTTTCTACGCTTTGTTGCTCATAGTATCTCCATTAACCGTTGTGCTCGAAACTGTGATAGTGTGAAGTTGAAATGAGCAGTTTAACCCATCTTTCTTGCTGAATTATTACGCGTATACTTAGCTTTTTCGAAACATTCTCACACAGTTCGTCAAAAATCCGCCGTCCACTCCTTGTTTGTCTTCTAAAGTCTTTCTTTTCAGTGTTCTTTTTGATCACTCATGGTGCACCCATTGTTTGGTCTTCTTCGACAATTTGGCAATTTCTTTGACTGAATGGCCAGAACGGACCGTAAAATAGATGCCTGAGTTCTAACACAAACAGTGTTGGCCTTTACCTTCATGAAAGAGCAGAAAATATAAAAGAAAACGGTTATAAATACGAAAATAGAAAACCTACAAACTAGCAGTAAAAATATGGCGGGAAAAAACACGCGCACATGCATATTTGCATATTTGGTTCAAAAAGTGAAAAAACGTTGTTGCTTCAAATTTTAGAATTAAATTGCTTTGAACGGTTTTCTTACCTGAATCAGATTAAATTTGCCTAAAGAAGCATTAAATGCTGTGCACAAAGTATAATTTTGGATCGGAAAGAACTTTTAAAACACCCTGTATACTTCAGTGGAGATTAGTCGTCTCCATACAGCGCTATTTTCTACTCACTGTCAACTGTACTTCGATGTACTTCATTATGTAATTTATAGGCGCGTTCAGAATTTCCTTAATTTGTTATATGGGAGGCTGTTTTTCACTCAGATTCCTGCTTCTTTGAAACTTGCTTTCACTCAGGTCGTCTTTCTATGATTTTCGCGGCAACTACATTCTATCACTAAGTAAACGTAGATCAACTAGATCGTTTTCATACTTTAGTCAGCCAAGCAGTGGAATGCGCTACTTTACTTTTTCCAGAGTACCTTGCAGAGTCCAAGAGGAAAATACAGGGTTTACCTTGATGTAGATTCTTTTTGCTTACAGAATGCAGGGACCGGCGCGGAATGATTTTCTAACGATATATAGTTATATTTCTAGACACTAGTTTCTTTTAAATTTGGTTTTAAAATTGGTTGGCATTTTTCTAATCTAAGGGAGTGTTCCAAAAGTCAGAACTGGTCGGCTGGACCGGTCATTTTGAAAATGAAATAGGCTTTTTCCAAGAGTTTTTTGCTCAAAAAATCATCTCCTTCAGACATCGTATTTAGGATTTCACTGATCTGGATTGATATTTTTTATTTTAANAAATAGATGCCTGAGTTCTAACACAAACAGTGTTGGCCTTTACCTTCATGAAAGAGCAGAAAATATAAAAGAAAACGGCTATAAATACGAAAATAGAAAACCTACAAACTAGCAGTAAAAATATGGCGGGAAAAAACACGCGCACATGCATATTTGCATATTTGGTTCAAAAAGTGAAAAAACGTTGTTGCTTCAAATTTTAGAATTAAATTGCTTTGAACGGTTTTCTTACCTGAATCAGATTAAATTTGCCTAAAGAAGCATTAAATGCTGTGCACAAAGTATAATTTTGGATCGGAAAGAACTTTTAAAACACCCTGTATACTTCAGTGGAGATTAGTCGTCTCCATACAGCGCTATTTTCTACTCACTGTCAACTGTACTTCGATGTACTTCATTATGTAATTTATAGGCGCGTTCAGAATTTCCTTAAATTGTTATATGGGAGGCTGTTTTTCACTCAGATTCCTGCTTCTTTGAAACTTGCTTTCACTCCGGTCGTCTTCCTATGATTTTCGCGGCAACTACATTCTATCACTAAGTAAACGTAGATCAACTAGATCGTTTTCATACTTTAGTCAGCCAAGCAGTGGAATGCGCTACTTTACTTTTTCCAGACTACCTTGCAGAGTTCAAGAGGAAAATACAGGGTTTACCTTGATGTAGATTCTTTTTGCTTACAGAATGAAGGGACCGGCGCGGAATGATTTTCTAACGACATATAGTTATATTTCTAGACACTAGTTTCTTTTAAATTTGGTTTTAAAATTAGTTGGCATTTTTCTAATCTAAGCGAGTGTTCCAAAAGTCAGAACTGGTCGGCTGGACCAGTCATTTTGAAAATGAAATAGGCTTTTTCCAAGAGTTTTTTGCTCAAAAAATCATCTCCTTCAGACATCGTATTTAGGATTTCACTGATCTGGATTGATATTTTTTATTTTAAAAACGCGAAATTCTCATTACAAAGCGAATGTCATGGCTGAATGGAAAGCTTAAGCACCGTAAGTAAGACTATGCAGAATCATTAGTGCTGTAGTGTCTTAGGTTAATTCAAAAACACACAAGTTATAAAATATTTTTTGTTTGAAAGTGTTATTTTGGCTAACCTGGGTCAACATGCTCCATCTATTAAATATGAAAGGATTTTTTGACTGTTTTTAAGTAAGCTTTCAACTACTTAGCGGGTAATTTGTCTGCTTTTGCCGCTAGGCCGTGACTGCACGTGAGCGATCTCGTGCCCCTGTGAGCCTCCTCTGATTACGCTGTAATTACTGCTTAATGTATTGCTTGAAAGCTTCTGACCATTATGATACCGCTTCACGATCTTACCACATTATTATTGCAAAAAATAATTCCTTTTAATTCCTTTCTTGTTCAAACTTTGTAAATGGTAAC